TGTATGAGCGAGAATTGTTGAGGCCAAGATTGGAAAAAGCACAGGGACAAATAGCCAAACTAGTGGAAACACGTGAACTATGAACCAATAGCTGAGGAGTCCCCAACTAGATCAAGCCTTCTGAATAAGTGAGAAAGCTGATCAGCTTGAACTGTTTGGGAGGCACCCAGGCAATGTGACCAGGACCTGTCCTTAGTACATGAGCTGGCTGTTTGGAGCCTGGGGCCTATGCAGGGACGCTTTGCTCAGCCTGGGTGAAGGGAGGAGGGGACTGGACCTGCCTCGACTGAATCTATGAGGCTGAGCTGAATCCCCAGGGGAGTCCATGCCCTGGAGGAGATGGGAATGCGGCGTGGGGAGGACAGGGGAATTCGTGGCTGAAAAAAAAGTAAGTAAATGAAAAAAAAAACCAGCAATATTAAACACATACGATTTTCTTCTTAAAGGGGAAAAAACAGCAATGTGTTATTCACCAGAAGGCTGACAGAGGATGGGGTTAGTAGCCCGGTGATTTTTGTACTTTCTGTAAGACAAAGTCCACACAGGAGCTTCCACTACACCCTTAGCATGAGCTTGGTTTTTCATCAGTCAATCTATACAACCCACTTGTATGCAAGATGTCACAGGTTCTGTCAAAAGACTTTCTATGTAGTCACATCTTAGGCTTTATTGTGAAGATAGAATTGAATTAATTACCACCAGGGAACTTCTTTCCCAAATTGTTTCATGTTTGAATGTGCCTAAAATAAACTACCCAGTGCCCGACTTTCAGAGTTTGGGCTACTGAGTCATGTTAAACTGAAATTCCTCCTTGCCTCCCCTGGTTTGACAATCGGCTGGACACGATATTTGAAGACCCCCCCACACAATCATTAACCTTTGGATTTGCTTTACTGTTATTTTCTTGAAGATTTTTGCAAGTGTTTTCTTCAAAGACATTGATCTGTAGTTCTTCATGGAATTCATGTCTGGTCCTCTCTAATTATTAGATGGAACTGACAGTGATCTGTGTGATTCTGAGTTTTTCTGGGACTAAGACCTTTAATTTTGGATTCAGTATCATTTTGTTGTTATTTTTGTTTTAATATTTCATTTCATGTATAAATTTGTATATATCTGTGTATCTGTATAATTGTATGGGGTGGTATTACTGGCCCTCATGGAAGCCAGAAGCATGATATTCTTTTGGAACTGGAGCAATAGGTGGCTGTGAGCTACCTGGTATGGATGTTGGAACCTACCCTAGTCCTCTGCAAGAGTAGTGTGTGCTTTTAACTTCTGAGTCACATCTCCAGTCTCATCACTAATTTGTGTCTTCATGAATGTATCATGGTGAGTGGTGATGTATACATCTCCAGGTCTGTCCATTTCTACTAGGCTACTAATCTCTTATCATCTATATGCTCATAAGAATCTAAAGTATCCTTTTGCATTTCACTGATATCAGCCCTGAAGTCTTTCTCACCAATGATAATATGTATTTGAATCCTACACAACATTTTCTAAGTTAGTCTAAGTGAAAGCTTTTCAATACAGTTTCTCTTTTTAATCTGGCATCACGCAAGCTACCATTTGCCTCATGTCCACTAGTTTTTATTTTTAAGAAGCAGTTCTTTCTTTTGTTCATCATTGTTTTGTTTGAATCTTTACTTCACTTACATCTTCTCTGATATTTATTACTTATTCTCTTCTACTAATATTTATTTTGGTTTTCTATCTTGTTTCCTAGCTCCTTGAGAAGTTCAGATAATTTTTCATTACATGCTTAACTGGAAAATGCATTAAGTTCTACTTGAGAAGTCCTCATAGTCTTTAATAGTACCAACACAGTTTAAAAGTCCGAAATCTCTTCTGAGACTTGAGGCAATCTCCTAATTGTAAACCTTTCATCAAATCAAAGTGCAAATTATATATTCCAACATACAAAGTCAGATAGCATTCATTATCATTACAGATAGGAGATATGGGAGCATAAAATACTGGGCAAAAGAAAAATAAAATTCAGCAGGGAAAACTCCAAATCCTGTAGCTCCACGTCTTGATGTCAGAAGGCTGAGAAGACTCTGCCCTCTCAGCTTTGATGACTGCAGCACACTTCTCTCTCTCGGACTGGTTCCACTCACTCTGCACAGCTCTGCTTGGCAAGGTATCCCACAGTTCTGGCAGCTCAGACATCTTGGGGTCTCCAGCTAAATCTAGGCTTCACTTTCACAGCTTCACACAATGTCCTCTCCAGGACTCAATGCAGGGAATCCCCTACCACATGCCTGTCCTCAGTGGCTTTCCTTAACCATGAAAGAAGATTCCATGACCACTTTACTCCTGATTTCCTTTTTTACTCTAGTGTCAGAACCACATGGCTGAATCTGCTAAGTTTTGTATTCTGCTTAGAATGGAACCTGAATTCTTCCTTGAGTTACATTTACATAAGCTTTAATTTGTTGTTTTCATTTGTTGAATATGTTTTCCTTTGTTTTAGGAGAGACTTTAGACACTGGATTTTTTGCCAGTTGGAAGTTTAGCTGAATACATTCTAGCCCTGAGAACAGCACTCCCTTTATTCCATGGCACATCAGGCCTTTCTTTCAACTACTATCTCTTTGAGCACAAGACTTGTTTCCAACATTAAATTTCCTGGTTATCTTTTTTTTTATTCTACATTTTGTGTTTCTTTTTGTCCTGCTTCATCCTTTTCATTGTATACCTAACATCATTTGCCAACAAAAGTGGTCCCTAAATCTTTCATTTAGACTCAGGCAGATACTTAGGACAAGAGCAAAAAGTAGCAACATTCTTTACAAAATATCACAAGATTAGTCACTAGCACAGATGCTGATTAGGAGAGGTAAGAATGTGTTTTGTGTCTTGATTGGATTCTGAGTCCTGTAGCCACATCTTAAAAGTTCTTATTAATAAAATCAAACCCGAGGCCAGTTATCGGGGTCAATGATGGTAGATCAAAGAGACAGAAAAAGCCACAGCTATCTCACCTTGCCAGTTCCTCAGCTGGTCCTGTTTCCTCAGACTGGAAGCTTCTGTGTCCTCATCCCAATGGC